GTGTCTTCTGATGCAGTCGCGAGCACCTCAGCAACAACAATGCAACTGCTCAATTGGAATTCACTTCGATATGATCACCAAATATCATTTATCGTATATAATCGATGATGTTTTGTCAACTTGTGTATCTATGATCAGTAAATGTTCAGTTGAATTGCAGGCGGAATGGATGAAAATGCACAGAAGTATGTGGCAGTTTCAGTGGCACCACCTCAAGTTAGCGCTCCCCAGTACATAGCCGCACCGATCGGCTATGCACCAGTACAGTATGCCACTGGGCCAGATGGGCAACCAATACAGTACGCAGCTGCGCCGCCACCTGGTCAACCTCAGCCGATGGCCAACGGTGGTGCTGGTGGCCCACCGATGCATGCTGCACCACCCGGTGCTCAGCCTGCTCCTCCTGTAGCTGTTTCTGCTCCCCAGCCACCAGCTCAGGGCATGACGGCTCAAGAGGTTGCGATAGCAAAGTTGGAGAATTCGATTACGAGTATGGAAGAGCAACAGATGACTGGCGATCCGAGATATGCACAGATGCTTCAGCTGAAACATAAAATCACTGGTTTGTCTTCACTGATCCTTGAATTTTGAATAATTTTTGAACTAGATACACCGGCACATTGCTCTAAAAAAGGATCGAGTATCTGGAAAAACACATTCAAATCGCTCCGTCCCATAAAGCGTTCGATGTGGAACAAAATCCTCTCGCAAAGGATGCATTTTGTTCAGATTTATTCTTTAAAGTTGAGAGTTTCTACTGATTGTTCAATAATTGCTCAATTTATATTCATCACTCGTCAGTGTTCTATCGGTGAAATGTTCATTGGTTTCAGGTATGCCACCACCTCAACCCACCGAACAAATTCCAAAACAAGAAGTAGCACTAAAAGAGAGCGGAGATAATAACGGTGGTAATTTTACACCAGATCAAATGAGTCAATTACGAGCTCAGGTACATTGACTGTTTCGATGATGATGAAATAAATGGATAATCTTCTTGATAAATCGTCTTTTCAATGAAATCTTCACTGCAATTGACTTTCATTCATGTTTCTCGAATTCTACTTGGTAATTCACAAAACTGAAGCAAACAAACAATAAATGCTTCAGCTGAAACATAAAATCACTGGTTTGTCTTTTTCAGATAGGCGCCTATAAACANTGAAGCAAACAAACAATAAATGCTTCAGCTGAAACATAAAATCACTGGTTTGTCTTTTTCAGATAGGCGCCTATAAACAATTGGCTAGACAAGAGCCGCTGGCACCGTCACTGGCTTCGAGAGCAATCACGAAGCTGACCACACTCTTGCCGGATCCATACGATTATCCGACCGAAGGTGAGAGCGGTGAGAAGTTGCCGTATGATCTGATGAAGGTGCTCTCATTGCATCAACAACGTGCCAATCGTACCACAGCTCTGCCAACTCCGCCTGGCATTGACCCACAAACCATTCTGAAGGAACGCGAATATCGGTTAGCAATTAACTTAACATTCGGATTTCATCATCTAAAAATAGTTTATTGAAGTTATCAAATCGAATGTTATGAAATCAAATATTTCATTTTATTTATTCAACAGATTTATTCATATTTCAACATTTCATTTATTCAACAAATAGAACATGACAAATATTTCATTTATTGAATATTTATCAAATCAGCAAGTCCAACTACAACTCATCACGAGTTTATGCCTCTTTCTCATCGCGAATAATACAAATATGACATTCTTCCTTGGTATCCTCCTTTCCGCTTATCTAACGATAATAGCGTTGAAAATCATCTGCTGTCTTCATGAAATTTTAATTTCGGTAATACATTTGGCGAGCACAGAGATTTTGGGCTACACTCTCCCGTATTGCCCAATGATTTCAAGGGAGAGGGAAACTTAACTTATTATTTTGTTCAAATGATTGTGCAAATGCTGTCTGTCTGTATTTATGACTGCAGCGCTAGATGGATATTATTCGTTTGATCAAATGTTCAGAATGAAAGTAGAGAATGTATATTCTCGGAAAATGTTGAAATTTTTATAGACAACGTGATAACTACCATGTTTGTTCAAAAAATTTGATAGTACCGTCGTGATCGGCCTTAAGCTATGTTATTTGGCCAATCTGTGCGCTTGAAGGATGGTTAGAACAGTGCATTGATGTTGTATTTGATATTAGTAATCGATAAGTGACTATAATGATTTTCACAATTCAGTATTCAAAATCGTATCGGGGC